ATTGGCACTATCTTCTTTTTCGCTGAGTTTCTTTGGAAAAATCCGTTTGTCAGAGAACGAGCTCGTCAACTCGGAATTCCATCTTCACCATATAAAATGCTGGGATGTGCTTTTCACTTTCTCTTCAAACAAACAAGGGTGATGAAAACGGCTTTGGAAGAAGCAAGAAGATCGCTTTCCAGGCATCCACCTCTTCTTGGAATTCATATTAGAACAAGTGATCACCATTTTGGGAGTAAAAATGAATTTTCTTACAGATCTCACAACACATCAAGCTTTTTTATATGTGCTTTACAACAGAGTGCTTTCATTCTAGCAAACACTCATCACTCAAATTTGACAACTTTACAATGGTTTCTCGCTGCAGACGACCAAGAAGTCAAAGACATGGCGAGGAAGAATTATTCAAACGAAATAATATCTCTGGGATTTCGACCCATGCATACAGAATTTTCCAGTGGGTCAGTAGGTGCAAAAACAGTCGTGCGTGATGTTTTAACTGATGTCTTTCTTCTCGCTGAGAGTAGTTACCTCCTCGTAACTTCAGAAAGTACTTTGAGTAATTTAGCGGCGGCTGTGGGTTTACACACTAAAGAAAGCATTGGAGATGGAGAAAAATGTCTGGTAAACAGAACTTCCTTGCTTAAAATCATTCAAGCTATCAGTAATTAGAATGTTATTACAATTTCTACATAGCCTTATATCAAAGGACCAAAATACCAAATAGGATACCTTTGTTTACGACAAGGTTAGATTAAAGAGTTGAGGTTACTGATGGAAGGTAGGTAAGCTGACAAGATAGATAAGATACGCAGATACGGTAAAAAAATAAAAAGCTTGTCAACAGACGTGGTTTTCTTGCTTGTTTTCTTTTCTTTAGCTCCGTCGGTAGCGCTTGACTACAGACCGGGAGGTCGCAGACCCGATTCCCGGGGCCGGGGCTTTAAAGAGGGTAGCAGAGGAGAAGTCATGGTCCCGTTTCACGGGCAAATTTTGACAAATTTCACGTATCACGTGCTTTATAAACCAATTTTCAACCTCTCCCGCCCTAGCCTTCCACGCAGACGTTCTTACGGGTTCGTCACGCAATCATTCCTCTCCCACGAGACGCGTGACGAACCCCTTAGAACGTTTGCGTGGGAGGCTACTTCCGCCCGTTAATCACAGAGACTACGAACCGAAACTAAGCCACCTTGGATCAGACTTCGACGGTTGTCATACTGAAATATGTCAAAGACTACACTGACCGCATGCGGTTTTTAGGTTCTAGTTTTTTGGTAATTATTAACCAGGACAAAAAGGTAACGCAAAGAATGCAACCGACGGCGCTGTTCAATCTATTTGTCCTATACTATTAATTTTCACGAAATGGGACAAGCAATTCACGAGTCCCGCATATCTTACAAGATAAATCACGTATCCACAAGTGGTTTCACGGATCACGCTCGTATTATAGCAAATTTCACGCGTCACAAGCCAAATTTCGGCCACCGTCTTAAAATAACTGAGAAATGAAGGTACTACTGTTTGCCTGCAAACGGCTAGACCTTACGGTGTCTCGGATGACAACGTAAAATTATATCCTAAATTAGTATATTGTCTCTCAAGTAAAGTGCCTTTTATCCCCTTTTTTTCTCAAGTTTCCTTGATTAAGGTATTGCACTGCGTTTGTTGTGAAAACAAGAAATCTCGCTTTCATTCGTGGTACTATACAGTAACACCGTGAATTTAACGGTTAGATTTAAGATATAACATAAGGTTCTTCGGTTAGTTCTCTTATAAATAATCAGCTTTCTTTAAAATTACGATATCCATGTCAGCTATTTACCATCTTGCTCCACTCCTGTCTCCTAGCTCTTACCTCCTAACGTTTGCAAATGTCCTCGTGCAATTCGGCTGCATGAATTCTTCTCCAATACTACGGTGTTCGAGGAGTATCACAAATAAAATTTACTATGTCTGATTCTTTTCTTGTCATCTATGATTTTGATATCTTGTCTATGATTAAAAGGAAAAATCCTTTTCGTTTTTTATTGTGTCATTTTGATTTTAAATTTGTCGCGTTTGATTTCTCAAATGACACTCTTGATTTCCAAAATTAGACGCGTTTTGATTTCTCAAATGACCTTTTGATTTCCAGAATTTGTCGCGTTTGATTTCTCAAATGACACTCTTGATTTCGAAAATTAGACGCGTTTTGATTTCTCAAATGACACTTTTGATTTCGAAAATTTATCGCGTTTGATTTCTCAAATGACACTTTTGATTTCCAGAATTTGTCGCGTTTGATATGA